AGATAGATAGATAGATAGATAGATAGATAGATAGATAGATAGATAGATAGATAGATAGATATAACTCTTTGATAAACAAAGCTTATTTTCTGTAAAATGGTTCCTTTGGGTTCAGACGTGAACAAACATGTTTCTGTACTGAGTTGGAACATGATCTCAAACATATGAGACCCCAGTTTATTGTATTTACACAGGTCGTATGCAGAGCTGAACGAAACAACAGAAAGTTTAAACTTCTTGTTGCATTTTTTTTTTGTTTTCAACTTTAATGGAGTAGAGTTTGGAGTTGCTGTCAACGAACGGAGCAGCACTCATCCAGGAATAAAATACAGTGACTGAGGCTGGGAAAGCTGACTTACACTTTTCTGTTATCGTCAAGCATAAACTTTCCCATGGAGCATTTTGCAGCACCAGAACCTGACAGCTGGAAGGATGGAGATGCTAAATGGAGAGAATTTGATGCACACTGCAGTTATTCTCTGGAGAAGAGTCAAAATACTGACATCAGCTGTAGCTAGAGAGAGATGGAAGAACATCACTTCTTCAAACTTTTCAGAAAATGATCAAGATGTTTTATTTATCGTGACTGTAGGTGGTTAAAAACTTTCTCAGTTACTCTGTGATGTGTTTCAAAGCCGAGTTAAATGATAGTGGCTGCTGTTGGATAAAAATAACCTCAATTCATCTTTATTACTGAATGAAGCCACACCAGGTCACGAGAAGATATTTAACTCGTTTTTACTTGCAAGGACAGACTTTCACAACAGGCTTACACAGATGTCTCATTGAAGCCCAGACGTGAGAATCTGCACTGGACAGTGTGCGAGAATAGTTTACATACACTTATCAGCCATCACAGTACACAGACTGCCCATAATGACCTCGGCCTCCCAGCTGTACATGCAGGATCAAATCAGCTCCTCTCTGAAAATAAAATAACTCTCTGAACTCACACATGGTTCAAAATCAGTTTAACATTAGTTAGGGATAAACATCCTTGACCAGAATTTCCCTGATAGTTACAGTCAGCAGGCAGGTGTTTAGTGACGTAACAAAATATATATTTTTAACAAACAGTTTCTAGCTAGATGTTTGTAGTGGGAACAAAAAACTGACGACAGAAACGTAGGAACAACTGAAAACCTAAAACAGTACACAGGGACTCATTAGTCATTAAAAAACATGGGATAAATTTCACTGTTATGCTGATGATACACCGTTATATTTGTCCATGAAACCCAATGAATCCAATCAGATATTTAGACTACAAGCATGTCTTAAAGACATAAAAACCTGGATGACCCTAAATGTTCTGCTTTTAAACTCAGACAAGACTGAGGTATCAGTTTTTGGACCTGAGTATCTAATTTTTCAGTCTTTCACCCTCCTTGGATGGCATTAATCTGGCCTCCAGCTCTAATGTTAATCTTGGTGTTATTTTTGTAAGAAAACCACTGCCTGCAGCTCCTCGTCCAAGTTGGCCGCTGATTGAGAACAGCTGACGGCCATCAACCTGATGAAAGTCATTCACTACTTAAGGCTGCAGTCCAGCTACTCTTTGCTGGAGCATTGCTCATTAAAGGTATTTGTGCCTCCAGCCTGTATGTTCACATGTAGTAAATCTACTTACCAGGTTTTCTTGTCCACAGCAATCCTGTCTCCTCGGTCCTGGTTCCCTTGTGCCTCGTCCTGGTTCTCCTTGTGCCTCGTCCTGGTTCTCCTCGTGCCTCGCCCTGGTTCTCCTCGTGCCTCGCCCTGGTTCTCCTCGTGCCTCGCCCTGGTTCTCCTTGTGCCTTGCCTGCCACCAGTTGCCAGCCTCCCCTGTCCAGCTGGACTCTTGGTCTCCTCACCCTCTGGAGCTCTCCCTTGGATTTGGAGTTGGGCCCCAAGACATCTTAAAACCTGTAAGAGAGAAGCATCATCATGTTAAATTTGCCTGTTTTAAACACTCCCCGCCCCACCCAAATCTCCTTCCTCTTCCCAGGCGCTCCAGAGAAACAACTGTAATATTATCCACTGTAATTAATAAACACTGTCACTTTTGTACTTGTCTGTCTGTCTTGTTCCGGGTCTCGTACAACTCTGGGTTGCCCGAGTCACAATAATTTTTGATCAGGACATGTCCCCCATATTAAAAACGTTGCCAACACCACTTTCCTCCACCTGTGTAATATCACTAAAATTCTAAACATCTTGTCAAAAATGATGCAGAAAAACTGGTTCATGGTTCAATTAAAAAAAAAATACAAATGAAGCAATTTGCCTCTGTCACTGAGGAAACTGAATAATGAACATTTGTGGTCTTGGAGATGAGTGTTTTTCTGTACTGGAACAGAAAATGCAAGTAAATCTTAAAGATTTTGGTGCAAGATATTCATGTGGGTAGGAGTTACACTGAGTATAAGAGAGGTAGTTTTAATTTTTATAGTCCACAGAGTGATGCATCCTGGTGAGGGGTGGGAGCAATGGTCATCCTGCAGTGATGATGGCCAATGGTGGCCTTGGCTCCATTAGATTAATCTTCGGGCACTCCAAGGGCCATTGTAACCATGTGAAGAAACTATACTTTTAAGCAATATTAAAACAAGGAAGCATAGTTTTCTTGAATGATGGACCAACCAGGGGGAACCAACAGAATAAACATTGTCATCATTTCAACACTCTTGGATTCTCACTGGCGCTGTCCTTGGCCATCCTCGGCACCCCCCGAGAATGTTTACGGATCTCACCAGAGGGAACTGGCTGATTATTCCATTCTTATCAGAACTCCTACAGTGCCTCCGGGAGCATCCTTGGACACACTCACCGCTCTTGTCGTCTCCGCCTCCCCAGCGGAATGTCTACATCACCATGTGCTTATGTGGGCAGGGTGTGTTTTCAGTTTCATGCTATCTCCCAATGACCATTGAGAGAGAATATGTTAGGAATTGTTTTGCCTCCAAATCCTGTGTTGTTACTTTCACAACTTTATTTGTCTGTCTAAACGGATCTCAATTGTAAAAGTCTTCGAGGCTCAATGCGATTTATCTGTCTGAATAAAGCTTTGAATGAATGAATGAATCTCAGGGCACTGTACAAAATATTCACATCCATAAAAAGCCAATTAATAAAAGTTGTTTATCTAAAGAAGCCAGCAGACTGCTCTGACTCCACTTCATTGCAGTCTCCCATCCTGAGCAAACACTAGGGCAACAGTAAAAAGGAAAAACTCCTTTTTAACAGGAAGAAACCTCTGGGCTAAGGACAAGCGGCCATCTGCTTTGACGGGCTGGGTTTCCTGTTCCTGAGAGGAACAGGAAGGAGAACTAAACACAGAATGGCAGGTCCAGGTGTACTTTCTATAAGAGGAAAGACAAAATGTTAAGATAGAAATAATTACAAATACAAACAGGTGCAATAGAGTAAGTAAAGACAGGAGCAGAGTGAGGAAATGTGGTCAGTTTGTCTTCCCGTAGTCTAAGCCTATAGCAACACAACTAAGGGATAGCTCAGGAAAACAATATGACTAACTATAAAATTTATCAAAAAGGAAATAAGTCTAGTCTTCAAACTGGACAATGTGTCAGCCTCAAGGACAGAAACTGGAAGTTGGTTCCACAAGAGAGGAGCCTGATAACTGAAAGATCTTCCTCCCATTCTGCTTTTGGAAACTCTAGGAACCACAAGTAAACCTGCAGTCTGAGAGTGAAGTGCTCTGTTAGGAAAATATGGAACAATAAGATCTGTAATATAAGATGGAGCTAGGTTGTTGAGAGCTTAGTATTTTAGAAGAAAGATTTTGAATTCAATTCTGGATTTGACAGGGAGCCGAGGGATATAATCTCTCATATCAACTATATAATACTAATAATTCTATTATATGTATGTATTACTACTATATAGTATTTATACTATTATATTTGGTTCTGCATGCATAACTTAACAAATGTAATAGCTGTTACTTCAAAGTGTCACATGTTAGTGATTCATTGCTATAAACTAGATGTAATTCTGCTCATGTAAAACTATAGAAACAAGATTGTTATCACTTTAAATGTGTTACATCGTTGATCCTGAGTTGTGGTTGTCACATTTTACATTAAATATAACACTTCTCAAACAGCAAGAAAACATTTGCAGTCTGGTGAATTTTCAAACTGATTTTCCTCCTAAGTCTTTGTAACTTCATGTAATCTGATGTGTCCTGTTTGCTGTTTTCTTTTCAGATCTCGATCTGAGATCAATCAAGACGCACATCGGAAACTTGCTGCACGCTGTACCTCAGTTTGACTTCAATATGAAATTTGACTGCAAATTAATCTTCAAAAAAGAAGCACTTCCTGTAGAGCTAATTTGGGGGGGTGCTTGAGAGAGACAACCAGTTTCATAGGATTAGTGTTGTCTCATTTAACTGACAACTTTATGCAAGTTCAGATCATTTCCAGGAGATTTTACAAATCTGGCCAAACAGACGATTCCAGAAACAACAAATATCTAAAATGCACAAGATGGGTGTTGAGGCCGCGTTCGTCGTAGTCCTCATGTTTTCAGCCACCGTGAAAACAGAATCAGGTAAACCAGTAACAGCGCTGGATCGTCCTTGTTTCATATTTTTAAGTCTAATTATTTTAGTGTTTTCATTTAACCTGCTTAGAATTTGAAACAAGACTATTTTTATCACTTTACGTTTTTTTTTGTTTTTTTTTTACATTTATCCAGTTTATTATACTGAAACCTAAACTGCTGCATATAGTTAATTGACATCTTTGTTGTTTCTGGCTGCGTTGTTTTATTTTTCCCGTTGATGATGGTATTGGAAAAAATAGGTAGTAATTAAATTAATGTGCTTTAATGAAAACAGGGAACATTTTCTAATTATGTATAAGGTTGTATGTAGACGTCCTGTTTTTCTAGGGGATGAAGTAAATTAAAACAAATGCAAAAAAAATAAACTTGTTTTGTCCTGTTTAAAGGAGATGCAGCCTTCTGGAGAGATAAAGTCACGCTGACCTGTCCGAGTGATGGGATCTGGTACGACAGTGAGACAAAAGTCCAAAGTCCAACAACGGCAACAACATTTGAGTTTGTGTATCAACACAAAGCCCAGTACTACTGTGAATACAAGAAAACTGAAAGTGACGATACTTTCACTAAAAGGATGTATTATTTCTATGTGAAAGGAAAAGGTGAGTCCAATCAGAACCTTGTCCAGACCCGTGTTAGAACGTTTGATTGACAGCTCATATTTCACCTGCAGCTTGTGAGAACTGCTTCGAGGTGGACGGGTTTCTCTTCATGCTGGTCATTATCGTGGATCTGATCGGGACCTCAGTCTTGATGATAATCGTCTACAGCTGCACCAAGAAGAAAAGCCCGGACCAACGCTCGCAGTGTAGGAACAAACAGATCAGCCTCCGTCACTTCTGGTTCTATGAAATCAGCTGAAATAACAGTCACCATATTTAAACAAACCTACTGTAATTGTAAAAGAAATAGCTTGAAGCTGATTTACACCCTTCAGGTGTTAAAAACACACGGCAGAAAAAGAAACAAAACAGATCATTTCACTGATTATTACAGTCTTCACCTATTAATCAATTAGCAATAAAAACACATAATTACCTTGGATTTACAATAATAATAAATATATATATATATATATATATATATATATATATATATATACAAGCTTTGAACTCATTGTTACAACCATTTTATTTAAGTCCCAAAACTAAAACACATCTGTAGTTCACAGAGGTTCTCAATGGACATTTATAAAATATATAAAAAATATTAGTAATTATTTTTTTCAACTTAATTCAAACTTTTTAACAGTATAGGGAAGCTTTTGGTCACAATATAGAACAAGATTTGCTTTAATGTAAACAACATCAGTAAACAACTGGAACAAATAATCTTTTAATCTCTTACTTTGTTCAAATAAGTTTTAAGTACTTTTATAGCGTTATTTGAAGTTTAAAAATTAAATCTATATTTTATTACTGGTATTATTATTATGTTATTTATTTATTTTATTTTATTGTTTTTTATTATTATTATAACGGTTGTTGTTGTTGTGTTTTTCAGTGTCAACAGAGTATGACAAACAGAATATGGCAATACAAGAGAACAGAACAACAAATTCAAAAACTTCTTAAATAATTATTTTATTCTAAACAAAACAGCAACAGATTTTAATATTTTTTTAAAAATATGTTTATATTATTTATATATTACACCATTTAATTCTAAACGTTTTGTCAAATTTGTCCACAATTAACCTAAGCACCATAACTTCTGTGGGGGGTTCAACAAAATATAATTTATTAATGCCAAACCAATTTTTTCATGATCAGTTTGATCTCTACTTGTTTTATTAACCTTTCAAATCTTCCCTGAGCTTGATTAAAAATTTAATCTGGAAACATAGTAGAATTTAACATAATAGCTTCACCACAAACACAAATATAATCTAAATCAAACAGATAAATCATATAGGGCCAAATGCTGAACCTTGTGGAGCACCGCTGGTTATTTCCTTTAGTTGTGATTCTGTATATTTCATGTTTACATTTTGAAACCTAACATTTAAAATGGTTTGCAACATTTATTCTGTATTGGTCATGATTTTGAAGGAGCGCAACATGATTATTGCATCAAAAGTTTCAACTAAATCCAAACTAAAGCAATTTCTTTATTTTCTTAAACCCGTTACTATACTCTTTATAAATTACATCACAGCTTGATATGTTGACAAATCACTCCAGAACTTGTACTGATGGCCACTGAGTAATTTATATTTTTTTAATTTCACGGTTATTACACTTACGTCGTTTTACAAATACATGTTTGAGTATCTTAGCAAACATTTAGTTTAAATCAAAATATTTAATCATATTTATTCTCTCTACATCCTCTAGCACGATCTAAATCAGGAGGCCGTGCTCCTCCTGTCCCTGCTGCTGACTACGAGGTAGGTGTCCAAAATCCTTCTGTATGTATGTCTAATTTTAATTTGTCATCTATAGCTTGTTTTGTTCCTCTCTGGCTTTAAATGACAAAGAGTAGTCTTTAATATTTAAATCAAAGTTTTGTATTTAATTAAATGCAACTCTTGAAAAATCCACTTATTTGTCAAGAATTTGATTAAAGCACCGATCCCTGCCGTGAGCTGCCACGGCTGGAGACGAGTTGGTGACTCATAATTGTGAGAACATAGAATTTTGAATGCCGTCTCACTGAACTGTGCTTTGTGACCAGCAAACTGTGGCTGTGTTCTGACAACCACAGCATATTTTTGTGTTTTTTAGTCTGTGAACATTATTCTGTGTCACGTCGTACCGGCCCACTTTGAAGCCATCTTGGCAGCCGCCACTGTATTTGTGAAAACATCTTTGACATGTAGATCATTTTATAATTTAGACCTGTCTTTTTTTTTTTTTTGAAAAACCCAAACCTTCAGGAGAAATGAATAAGCAGGGGTGGGCACAGTTAACCAAAAGGTGAACTTCACTAACTCATATTATGCTAACTAAAAAATTAGCTTTGCTAACGTTAAACCGCTAAACAGGTAAAGCAATTAGCAGAAGCTAAACTACTAAGATGACAGTCACTCAGTCTGCGTCACACATCTTCCACTCCTTCCAGTTGAAGCTGCGTCGACCAATAACGTCTTGCCTTTTGTACACATACTAAGCCAATACTGTGCCTGACGGACTATTTGAGACGCGCCCTCAACAGACACGAACAACCTTGTGAATTCTGTTAGCGGACTTCAAGTTGGCAAAAACGAATTTAGCGGAAGCTAATTCCGTTAACGGTTTCCAAAGTTAGCAAAATTACTATACATTAAGCGAAAAATTTGTTCCGCTATTAGCTGTTAGCAGATTAGCAGAGCTATATCAACCACTGTGAATAAGCCTTCTTTGTTACAGTCTCGCATCTTTCTTTTAACGTCACGCGGAAAACCTAGTAAAGAAACTGAAAGTTAAGCTGGGTTTCTTTTTCAGAAATAGATCCTGTCTATCTCTGAATGCTAGAAAACACCTTGTATCTGTGACTGTCCTTCTGTCCATTGATTACGGTGACATTATTTACATGAACGCTCCTACAAGAACCCTGCAGATGTTGGATGCTGTCTATCATGGTGCACTAAGATTCATAACTGGCTGTGATTATCGTACCCACCACTGCACCCTGTATTCACTGGTTAACTGGTCATCATTAACTTCACGCAGACTCTCTCACTGGTACATTTTAATCTTTAAATCACTTCTTGGTCTGTTGCCTTCATACATCTCCTCCTACATGTCTCTGCGTGAGTGCAGCTACAGCGTGCGCTCTCAGGACATTATTACCTGCAGTGTTCCCTCAGTGAGGACTGAACTTGGCAAAAGGGCCTTCTCCTACTCCGCTCCTGTTTCCTGGAATATCTTGCAAAAAGATCTGAAGTTGTTGACCTTGACCTCTCTAAGTGACTTTAAACATCTGTTAAGTTCCTGGCCAGAACCAATGCAGACATGTTCCTGTTTTTAGTTTTCTACACCGCTTTATAATCTAGCTGTTTATTCTCTACTTTTCCTTTAAATTACCCTTTTAATTACCATTTTATTTTTGCTTGTTAAAAATAAAAAATACATTTGTACGCATCCTTTATGATTGTCTGTTGTTGCCGTTGTTGTCCACTGTTGTCATCACTTTTTGTTAAAATCAGTTCTCTCTTGTAAATGAGTCCCCGAGACTCAATGGGATTAACCTGTATAACTGTATGTACACAGTCAAGAAGAAAATCTTTAAGCATCTTCCAAATGTGGAATTCTGTAGATATTATTTTTGTTCATCGTAAAACTTTATGACTTCTTAAAGGTCAAGGACTGTTCAGGTAAAAACAGTCAGACAGGGATTTACAGCTCCAAATCATTTGGTCTCTGGAGCTAAAATATAGAAGACACAAACCCCGTGTCTTATGTCCTCTTTCAGGGACTATTCTAGGATCTAACATTTTGGGGTGCTTAGCCCCCAGTACTGACAATGGCACCAGGCATTCCCATTCAAATACTAAACAGGCCAGAGATCATCTGTTTTCAGGGTGGTTTGTCCATAAACGAGGAGCTCAGTTACAAATAGGACTGTTAAAGGATCATAGTAAACAAAGACTAAACTTACACAACCAGGTTACAACATATATCTACATATAAAACACACAAAACAAAGCACAACTAGCTTTAAGCAGTAACGTTTACTTGAACCATTAAGCATACAATGTAATTATGACAGAAAATGGAGGATTTACCTGAACATGTGGTACTGCCTGGTTATCACTGTTGTATTCAGCTGCTCATGAGGTCGGCCGCCGGCATCCATCCATCTTTTACATTTTTCCAGACTTGGTTTAGGTTTTGGAAATGGAATAAACTGTATTCCACCCTCTAAACACTCAGGGTAACACTGTCTGAATTATTTGTTCTCCACTGACGATGTGGAACCATTTTTTTCTGATGATTTTTCATGAAATCCCTCTGACCACAAAGCGTTCATAATGCAAAACCCAGACAATGTTGGCGGAGGAAAAGCGGGTGCAGCTCCTGCAGGTAAGGGGCGTTCACTTCGGGACAAATTGAGATCGCCGACTGGTCAGTAGCTGATGAGCCTACTGGATTGACTGACAGGTGGTGTTGAGGATCTGATCCATGCAAAGAAGTCAGATTTTACTGGCTTGTTTTTGAGTGTGATCATTGATTCCACCTTTTTTATTTTCAAATTTATTAAATATTTTGGTGAATCTAAGATTTGAGAACTAAGCTTCCTTACAAAATTGTAATGATGGTTTCTTTATTTTTCAGGGGTGCTGAGTTAAAATTTAAGGGTGCTTGAGCACCTCCAAAAAGAGGCTAAAATCACCACTGTCCTCTTTATTCATCAGATCTCAGGCAGTTTTTACATGTATAAATGTATTTATTAGGCTTTGGTGTCCATTTCAAATAAACAGAAATGCCTTAGACAAGATTTCAGATTATAATTTATTTATTTAAAAAGGGAAAATATAAGCTAAAATACTGAAATGTGTAAATGTAACATAGTCTATTTCTCCACAAAAAGCATAAAACTGTGAAAAAAATCAATAATTCAGATTTTTTTTTTTTTAAGTATAATTCAACTGGACCTAAATAAATTTCAAATGGTTTTGTGATGCTATCATTATTTGTGTGCAGAGTTGTATGATTTGGTTGGTTTGTTTGTTTTATTCCCCAATCTATAAAAGGTTTTAAACATTTTTTAACATGAACTGAAAGTACTTCATGAAGTGTCCAGTGTAAGTCTGTCACTGTCTGTCTCAGGTGTTAGTGTGTTCTTTGAGCCGACCGCTAACTCTTTGTTGTCGTTGTGATTTTTGGCAGCAACTGAACCCAAACTCTGAATCAACGGAGACTTACTCTGCTGTGGTGATCCGCTCCAGGTAGACACAAAGAGAGAGAAATGACTAAAAGATGGAAAAGTTGGATGCTTTTTAAAATTTGCTTTATGATTTAACAACAATTCACATTTAACATTTTGAGTTTTTAACTGTGTTGCTACTGGAGTTCGCTGTGTTTTAAATTTATGCTCAGACTCTATTAAAGCGGCGTAACATTCTGAAAAAATAACCCCATGATGCATGCACTTGAAGAAACATTTAAAGTTTAGTTTCAGTACGATTGTGTAAAGAGTAACATGCTTTTTGTATGTTCTGATTTAAATTCAGTTAGGAAAAGAAATGCAAATGGAACAGCAATTCTTTCAAAATGCTTATTCATGTGTAACGTGCTGTTTTTTAACGCTGATGCCATCTTTTATGATTTAACCATGAAGAAAAAGCGGTGAGCAAAAAGTTTGAGATTTAACGTGAACACAGCTCAAATGTTCAGGAAGGACCAGCTTTGTTCACACTTGTCTCAGTTTAGATCGTTGAAACATTTAAAAAAAAGATTCACATTTTAGTAGATTAATGATAAGTATTCAAAAGAAAATGATATTGGTACACTGGTAAATGTACAGTGGGGTGGATTTTTTATGTTTTTATTGCTTTGAGAGTTTAGGAGTTTACAACAGCTTCTACATCTTATCAGTTTTGTATAATTAAATAAAAAAATCTGTATTGTTTAATACTCAATACATTTGAGATTATTTTAACTGTTAAAAAGCACAGCTGCTTGTTGTTCATCTCATCAGCTTTGGTTTTTTTTTGTTTGTTTGTTGTACTTCCTTTTTGTTTTCTCATTTCATTTTGATGTTTTTATCTTCTCGTGACTGTAACATGCCATTAATAGAATAAACCACATTCGCCCTGTTCTCGTGTTTCTTGTGTATTTGGTTGGAAACAGTCCTGCAGATACACGCAGCTTGGTGTGAATCATGAAACCTACAGCTCACATCTGCAGATCTTCACCAGCATGATTTCCTCGTTCTTTGTTTCTCACGATTACTGCAAACGTGGAACTAATCTCGTGAACGTGTCTCGTTCTGTAGACTTCCTCCTGTCGATGGAAATATTGTTAATCCGTTTTTTACTTTAGTTTGGTGACGTGTGACAGAACGCAGCGACAGATTCTCATCCTGCACACTCTTTATAAAAATACACTGATTTAAAAGCAGATCTTACTGCTCAGTTAGCTCCATTGACGTGCGTATGTCTGTGTGGGGGTATGGAGGTGAAGGAGGGGTTCTTCTCTGAACTCATAAGTGTGGTTCGTTCTTGAAGTCAGAGATCAGTATCGTGTCGGTCATATAAGGCCCCAGGGCCAAAAGTGGCCCTTAGACATTCTTCAGACGGCCCCAAATATTCTTATCTGAAACAAAAACAACTTTTTAAAAAGTTAATGAAAACCAACATTTTTATCAATGAAACTTAAGGAAGTTTGAATAAGCATCTTGGACAAATACATCAAAAACATTTAGCTTAAGATAAGCTAAAACATGTTTTAAGTTGTGTTTCCAGAACTAGACTGAACTTTGAAGACTCGGCAAGACAAACATAACTTTTTTCTTTTTTTTTTCAAATTTATGCTAACAAATATTTTCTCACATGAGCCATTTTACAGAATGCATTCCTAAAGAGTATTGGAGGCATGTTTTTATCAAGCATGTTAACTATGTTACAAAAAGAAACAGTCTGGAAAAAGTCTTAAAGAAAATTTATTTTCCAATTCTCAATGCGGCTCTTAATTTTTTTTAAATATCTGGATTTGGCCCTCTGAAAAAAATGCTCTCTGATCAGGTTTACGTTCTTCAACTAAGTCAGCTGATCTTCTTGTTAAATTTCTAATTGGGGACTTCCTAGTAAGGCAGCCACCTATTATTATTCACCTGACAAAGGTTTCTTAACTTTATATCTTACTCTTCCATCAACTTTAATGTGGCCCGAGTTGTTTAGCATGCAGCTGTATCCACCATCAGTACACTCTACATGCCCACACTGAGCTATCAGCTCTCAGCTGTGGTGCTGAAAACCACCAAGTGCACCAGTTGTTGGGTGTTTTCTGTCTTTTGCTTTTTTCTCAGACCATTTTCTCTGCCAAGAGATTCCTCTTTAACTCTAAGACCTCCAGTATAGTCGGGCATACTTCAGTCCACGGAGGTCCGCGTGTACCGGATTAGAGTCGATGTGGACACACGCAGGGCAAGTCCGCGCAAAGCTCAATTTGTACAACCGCGTACACGTAATCTGTGTCACACACTAAACTGCCCGGCGACGGACTGTTTTGTATGCGACACCAACATATTAAGTTCCCTTTCATCCCTGATCTGGTTTAATGGCCTTTTGTTTTGTTTTGTTTGTTTTTTTGCCAAAAGGCAAGAGATCTCTCCCTCCTCCGTTGAAGCCATGACTGAAATGGTGAGAAATAAAGGAATAAAGGAACGAGTGAATTAAAATCAGGTCCAGCGTGGCTGCGGGAGGGTCTGAAGATTTCCTGTTAGGTTGGTCTGATGTGTGGGCTGCAGGGCCAGCGCTCCCCCCTTTTTTTTTTTAGAACTTTTTATTAACAACATATAAACGCAGAACACCGCTGCAGCTGGGGCTGCCAGCTCTTGTTTTTTGTTGTTGTTGTTGTTTTTTTGCGACCTGTCAATCAATCCAGTAGGCGTGTCAGCAAATGACAAATCGGCGACCTCAAGTTGTCCTCAAGGTAAACGCCCTTTCCTGCGGAGCTGACTGCAGCCGCTCAGGGTGGACACTTGACTATGAAGTCTTAACACTCTGCAGACAGTGCGCATAGTTTCCACGTGGCTGACAGGACGCACGAGTATACTGGAGCTTTAAGGAAAACCTTTGACTCTCATTCAAAAAAAAAAAGTTTCCTCTTGGAAGTCTTGGAAAGTGGATGAGTGAGGTGTTCTCCTCCAGTGCTGACCTCTGGCCTTCCTGTGTCGAGCTTTTAGACCTGATGAGTTAAAGAGAAAATTCAGACCAGGTTCTATCTTGGAGACCATAAACCCACAATCAGGTATGAAAGTTAAATTTTTCGTTTGATGAACAATAGGTTAGATAAATGGGTTTTCTTCCTTTATTGGTGATTTCCTCCCCTTCCTGTTGGACTGAAAAGCCATGGAGTCAGATCAGAGTCAGAGATATTTATTTGTCATTCGCATCTCATGTGGTACATGTGGTGGAACAAGATTATGTACACAGGGTCCCTGTTACATACAATAATAAAATGTAAAAGAAAAACAGTAAAAACATCTAAGATATGAACTAAGAAAAACATCAACTAAATATACACTAAGCACTAATAGCATAAAAACATTACATCGAACAGCAGCACGAACATGAGTCTGTGTGAGCAGATGAGCACACATGAACACAGCAACATGAAACAGATCAGCAGCAACATGAAACAGATCAGCAGCAATATGATGAATTTCACAATGATTATTCTGGTTAGAGATTCATGAGTCTAACAGCCTCAGGGTAGAAGCTGTTCCTCAGTCTAGTGGTTCTACACTTAATGCTCCTTAACCTCCTTCCTGAGGGGAGTGGGACAAAAAGTGTGTGTGCTGGGTGAGTGGGGTCCTTCATGATGCTGGTGGCCCTCTTCCTGCATCTGGAGGTGTAGATGTCTGTGATGGTGGGGAGACTGACTCCGACAGATTTCTGACAGATTTCTGTGCAGCCTTCACCACTCTCTGCAAAGCTTTTCTTTCTGCAGCTGTGCAGCCTCCATGCCACATGTTGATGCTGGAGCACAGGATGCTCTCCACTGCACACCTGTAGAAGGAGGTGAGGACTGAGCTTCCCAGACCAGCTCGCCTCAGCCCTCTGAGGAAGTAGAGTCTCTGATGAGCTTTCTTGATCAGGCTGGTCGTGTTGTTGCTCCAGCTGAGGTTGTCATTCATGTGTACACCCAAGTACTTGTAGCTGGAGACCACTTCCACCGCAGATCCTCTTATGTTCATGGGGGTGTAGATGTTTTTGTTCCTTCTGAAGTCCACAATAATCTCCTTCGTCTTCTTCACATTGATGTGAAGGTTATTCTCTCTGCACCAGCTCTCCAGGTGTTCCACCTCTTGCCTGTAGCTGGACTCATCATTGTTTGTGATGCATCCCACCAC